CTTGAACGACAAAAGTTATCACCCAATCTGTATGAAATTCATATGCATCATTTAAATTAGTGAAATGAAGAAGCCTATTGAATGTCAGCAATTTCTGTCAATTACTTCTAGAGTTATGGCCCTTGTTTCTACTTTGTTGAATCTTGTGAACGTTCGAACGACAAAAGTTATCATCCGATCTGTATGAAATTGATATGTATTATTTGAATTACTAAAACGAAAAAGTCTGTCGAATTTCAATAATTTCTGTAGATTACTTCCTGAGTTACAGCCCTTGTTTTAGTTTTTAGAACCTTGTGAACCCTCAAACGACGAAAATTATAATGTCATCTGTATGAAGTTGTCTATTAAATGCCCCCTAATTACCTACAAAAGAACAAATATACGACAACTCTTGTCGACCGCTCGGACGATTTAGCTGCTGTGGGCGTATGTTTAGTTGCCTGGCAACCTATCTTTATATAATGTAGGCCCTATTTAGCTCAGGAATCCATAGCCCTAAAGCTAATTCAAGTATTCAATAGAATAACTTACCTCTATGACTGGTTGTGTTTCGTAGAGCTTAAACAAGAAATCAGCTGCTGCAAAATTTCTAGAGCCTATCTTACTAAGAGACACTGCAGGTTCGGTTCCAACATCTTCCTTCTGTATCTTCATCTGACATCTTAAAGTAAAAAAAGAGAGAAATGGGGATTAACACTCACACAAAACAAACCAACATTTTTGGACTGACACCCAGGAGGTTTGACTCAATGAAAGACCTTATGAGCTTGGACCACTCAACCACCCCTAAAAACAAAAGAAGAGTAACAAGCAAACTGAACATTTCAAAATTTTGATCAATGGGACAAGACTAGATCTTAAAGCTACAATTTCATATTTGTTAAGTTATATTTTTAAAATTTATTAAAATAAAGCCTTAAAATAGATGGTATCCATACACAGTCCTACCTTGTTAAAGAATAATCCTATTAATCCTATAATTCACTATTGCCAGCTGCGAAATTGGCAAAATTATCATTTCCGAATTCCAACATTTGAAGATAGCTAATGCATGGAGGCAATAGGAAAACAAGGGAGGTAATTGTGTTATTATTTCCTGTGTCAATGATTTTTAAGGGTGGGAAATAATGCCCATAGTCGTATAATAGTGAGTTGATAACCTATTGAGCAAAAGACATAGAAATAATTATGTTTTGACTTTCATAGAAAATATGAAATTCTGGCTTGAAGGCTAAGGCCAGGAAACACAGCCTAGGTCTTACAGTTAAGGCCGGAAGACGCAAGACTACAGTAGGTCTTAAGAGATTCAAGACTAGGTTTTAAGAGACACAAGACTAGGCCTTACAGTTGAGGCCAGAAGATACAAGACTAAGCCTTACAGTTGAGACCGGAAGACACAAGACTAGGCCTTAAGATTATGGCCGGGAGACCAGACTAGGCCTTAAGGCAACTTACCTGAATACACGATCATCATTGTCAAAAAACTCCCATTCCAACAACATATTGTTGACAAAACATGAATGTTGTAAAATATAGAAACCTTGAACTTTACGATCTACTATCCAACTGACGTCCTCAAAGACAACGATATCCTTGGCTGGTAGTGTTGATATAGGTTTTCGGGTCCATTGTAAGCGATGAAGATTCGAACAGTTATCTTCCAAAATGCAGTTGAACTTGACACGAAAGTCGATAACATCTGTTGCTGCTTGGTCGTGTGGTTGAAGTTTACTGTGTTGGGGGAGGATGAACTCGGGGTCACAGTTCGTCAAAACCTCTCGGGCTTTAGAGTAAGCGTCTGCTTGGGCATCTGTTCGGTTCTCTGCTTCACCAATCATGATGAGATGACCAGCTAGATAGAGGTTACAGAAAATTTTCTCCTTTTCTATTTCTGTGTTCATCCAAGACAGTAATGATGGATGCAGGATGCGTGGCACTGCTAAGTTCGTTCATTTTGACAAACTGTTCACGGAAATCAAATGCCCTAGGATTTGGTGCTGCCTTTACCAAAGTGCTCTGAACCTGTGCTTCTGCTTCTGTTATGACAGACTGTTCGACACCATCTAAGATGTTGCCATGTTCAACATTCATGGTGGTCAGTCGTTCAACCACCATATTATAACACAATGACTTAGCAGTTTTTTTGGAAACTGAAACACCTGCACCTTGTAGTATGTTGTCAATAAAGTACATGCCCTTATGATAAACTTTCCCTGATTCAGCTTTACAACTCTCTACATCATATCGACAACGGACTCGACATTTAGCCACAGAGGCCACCAACTCCATTTTGCTGATTGAATTGGTTGAAGCATATTTAGGATTGGTTAGAATATCTTGGATCTGTTTCAAAATAGATGGTGGGGGTAACTCTGCAATTGTTTCTTTCTCCATCTTAGCAACGGTCGAGTTAAAATTCTCCAGTTTCTCCTTGATAACTTTTGGGGTCATATCATCCTGGTTCAAAATTTCAGTGACAGGAAGGGTACGATAAAGTTCCACCGCCTTCTTGAAACATGACAGTTTGATTTCTTTCTTGTTGATGCCGATAGCTCTGGCTAGGAACACACCACCCAGATTAAGTCGGCCAGTGAAAAAGGATCCGTTCTTTCCTTGTACCATGCCATCGATCAAAAAATCTGGTCTAATTCCAACTTTACAACTCATCAGAGAATTCTCAAACAACTAAAATGAAATAAAATAGGATTTAATGGGAAAGAGAGGAAAATGGGCTTTATTGTTCACTCGACACTAGGTCATTTCGGGACTAACATATAGTTCATTTTATTTCATTAGGGGTCTTTAGCAGTGGAAGGAAACCCTGAGGACATGGAGAAAACGCACGAGGTTGAACAGACGACCCTACTCCTTGTCACGTACAAGCGGGTAATGACGCATTAACGCTTCGACCACCCAAACTCGCCCCACTGGTCTTATGTAGATGGGCAAATAAAAGAATTTTATACGTAATACATGCTTGAATAAAAATAAAAATAAAGCAGAATCTGTGTTTTTAATGAGATTATTGTGAAAAATATTAAACATGCATTATGCAAGAGCTAAACCTGTCAATTTCAGGTCTTTCTTTAGGCCTGAAATCTTATCTAAATTATTAATTAGACATTAATTAACTTATCCAGACCATAATAAACTCCCGATGTCAAGGCTAGCCTTCGATGTCGACTGGATTACAATTCTATATGCTGCTATCGCTCATTGATAATTAAATCACAACAATAGACAATCGAGACTATTAGTTTCGAGGCTAGGCGAAACTTTCATCCGCTTAGTTTTCGGTTCATAGTGGACCAATTTGACTGACATTTTCAGCAAATTCCCTTTACATTATGTAGTTTTTAACTATTATAGTGAGAACTGCTAACTCGTTATCTTATCTCCATCTCCCATAATGTATCTTTAATAAATAAAACCTCACCATAATTTCATTGATTACTTTTTTTTCACTTCGTAAAAACATTGAAAGTCGTAGAATTTTTTCTGCTAGCGGTAATTTTGTGGCATCGATTGGTTCTGGGTTGGGTGTTTTGTGTACAGCGGCAGCAGGCAGACCTTTGTTATCAATGGGGCGTGTCTGGCAGCCTGGTAATGTTTCCCATTTCTTCTCTGTAAATAAACCATTAAAAAATGTAGTTTGTTAAAGCTGCATTTAGTAACTGTATTGAATAAACCATGACTAATATACCGGTGTATTAAATACAAGTTTTTTCACAGTTCATTTCTGACGACGTCTTGAAAAGTGTTCTCTTGTATTTATCAAGCCACAAACAAAATAAACTTCTAAATAACTTGTATTCTGAATATTGTTTAGTGTCCAGGTTCACTTTGCTCATTTCTGTTGATCAGCGGCTGGGGAGGGGGGGGGGGAATAGGTTTTACATTTAGATTCAGAACGAACATGATTCTTCTACAGCCATCCTTTTTACAGTGGTTACAACTTAAACATACAGGTTTCAAGTTTAACTGACTACCATGACTAGAGAATAGAATAACGTGATTTATCAACGAATTAACAGAATTTTAAAACAAAATTAAAAGCTTTTGAGCAGTAGTACGGTAAAAATTATGTGTGTCAAAAAGATAAGCACCACCGTTTAAAATGAGGTCTGTTTGATATTTAACCATCAACAATAAATTCAGATGGTTTTTATTTGGAACCATGTAATATCCATCACAAAATACTTCCAGCATAAGTCTTGCCACTCCAAGAAGAATAGTGTCAGGTTCCTTTGGTACCATGGTACTAATCAAACAAGAGGTGTTGAGGACGTGATCCAAGTGAGAGAGGGGGGGGGGGGGTTGGATGGCTGAATGGTTAGCGTGCGCGCGCTGTATCATAAAGTCTGTCATTCAGTCAACTGGCGTGGTTTCGAATCCCCGGTTGTACGTGACAAGGAGTAGGGTCGCCTGTCCAACCTTGTGGGTTTCCTCCGGGTCCTCCGGTTTCCTCCCACAGCTAAAGATCCCTACGCGCAAGGGAATTATGGAAATAAAATTGAACCATATGTTAGTCGAGTGGACGTTAAAGCCCATTTCTCTCTCTCTCTCCAAGTGAGAGAGGGATACACATGACGATGGTTATCACTACTCTTGTCTGTAATCCTCATCCTTTTCCTGACCAGATCATCTAATGGACTCCTATATTTTTCGAAATCCTCAATTAAAAAATATCTATTACTTAAATGACCAAATATTCCTGTCTTGTTTTACTTTAAGGTGGTCCTTAACCTTTTGTCAGTTGTATTTATTTTTATAACTTACTTGCACCACCGGCACTGTTTGCGGGAGTTCCAACACCTCCTATAGAATTCAACTCAGTGTTAAAAATATAATTTGCGGGTCACGGAAAGATAACTCTGTTTGGAAATATGGTTTGGTGTAGAGGAGTAACCGAAGTTGGCCGAGTGAAATCTGCAGCCGGTTGCCGAGTGAAAAATAGAAAGTAACTCATTGAAGATCCAGTATTGTGCAGCTGTCTTCGACCCGGATTTCACTCTTAACGAAGTTCCGTGTTGTGGATTTGTAAGCACGTGACTGAATCGATCGTGGAATTTTGATAAACCAGTTACAGTTGAGTATACGTTTCAATGCTAACCCGAAACCGGTTTGTGACAAGCGTTTCCTGGAAGTCCACCAGAATTGAAAATCGCGAGCTTTTCTTGGAAAACACCAGAACTGCTAATGACTCGACAAAAATTGTTGTGCTTTTTTGGTTGTTTTTGTCTTTTTAAACTGATTATTACATGCGCAAATATCCGTGTAGGCTACACTTAAGTAAAGATACATTATGGGAGATATTTATAGAGAGTTGCAATGGTCATTCTTGCTATAACAGTTCAAAAGTAGATGATGAAAGAAGAATATATTGAAAAATTCAGTCAAATTACTGTATTCTGAACATAGTTATCATCGTTGTAATATTTGCCTAGAAATGGTAGCGAAATGTGTCTTCACCGTCGCCGAACGTTTGATTGACAGGCGTTAACTCCACCTAAATTAAGACTTGCAATAATCAGATTTAGCGCTTGCATAATGCATGTTTAATCTAAAAAAAAAAATACTAGGAAATGGTAAAAATGATAAAGCAAAAATTATTTTTTTCCCCAATTGTACTGAACAGGGGCGGATCTAGGAATTTTGAAAATGGGGGGGGGGGGGCGCAAAATGAGGGTACTGACCGCGGAAACGGGGCACGCCGCGCTGAGAGGGGTTTGTTTTTTGTTTTGTTTTTGGAGGGGGGGGGACTATCCGTCATTTCCTTGCATCTGTAGCCATTCCAAGAGCTAGATTTGGCTGATATTTTCGTCTAAGTAGGCTATAAACGTTCGGAAATCGTTGAAAAGGAGCAAAAAAGCCAGTTGAACATGCGACTCGAAAATTGTCAAGGCGAGCGAGGCATCATTATGATAGGAAAAAAGACGAATCTATTCCCCAGCCACTTTACGTACTATTTAAGCCTTGTAACTTGTACTGTGTACTGTCCACACATATGAAACAATATTTACTGAGTGGACATCGTGCGCTCAAGACAGTTCCAAAAGGAACTAGTTACACTCATGCGCGTGGAGGTGATGGGTATATATGCCGCCGATTCCACAAGTTATGCTGTCATTGCGGACATATTTTGGTCTGAGAAAAGACACTTTCAGCAGTAAAAAAGAGCACTGTCGAAAACTAGCCCCCCCCCCCCTTTGGATCCACCTCTGCTGAAATAAGAAAAGATATCGAAACATACATCCACTGGGACAGCATACAATACCCTCACCCACACACGCGCGCGTTCGCGTGCTCAGCTACATAAAAAAAATTTTTTTAAGACAACACTTTTAGGAGAAAAGTGTCACGGTGGTGTTCTTTTTCATTTATCATCAGATGGTGGGGTGGGATGGGCATTCGAAGTGCGAGATAATGATATTAGGCCTATGTGATATCACAAGTCATGCTCTGCATCAATGAGATTTGAGATTGAATCACAATGTGGTCCTATAAATTCATAATAAAAATTGACGTTGGATTTCTCTCTTTAAAAAGGTTCAGTGTGTACGTATGTCTATATAAGAGCCTACGTAATTTGGAGACGATAGCATCATGCATTATCAACTGTTAAATTCCCTTAACAGGAATCTGGCACCTCCCCCCCCCCTCCTGCAAAAATTCCTGGATTCCTCCCCTGCCACAATTTCATATGCCCCTGTCCTTCGGCTCGCCCGTACACAATTTGTTGGACTCTACAGGTTGCAATTTTTATTTGATTTTGACGAAACTTGAAATATAGGTTTATCTCCCAAAGAACTCGGTTCCAATTGAAAATAGCATGCATTTCATTGGACCGTAACTTCATGGATTATGGCCCCTCATTGCACGAAATATCATGTTTTTAGGTTGTGGACACTCTAGAGGCCACAACTTAAAATGTATGTTTATAACCCAAAGACCTCGATTCCTTTCGATACTGGCATGTATCTGACCGTAACTTCCTGGACTATGGTCCCTGATTGTACTAAACATTTTGTTCCTCTCTAGAGGTCACAATTTTTATCCGATTTTAAAAAGAAGAAATAAACGTTCGGGTATATCACCGTTACAAAATAATGACGATTGAATTCGAATTTCGTACAAATCGAATCAAAACTGCCCGACAAAATGGCCGGTCCTCGTACAACAATAGTGTAAAAGTATGGTGTACCACGGTTGTGGATCCTTTAGACGTCACAACTTTTATCGGATTTTGATGAAACTTAAAATATAATATATGTTTATATCAAAAAGATCGCAGTTCCAATCGATATTCGGTAAGCAGGGAGGAGGGGAGGGGGCTGGATGGCCGAATGGTTAGCACGTGCGCGCTGTATCATAAGTTCTGTCAATGAGTCAAATGGCGTGGTTTCGAGTTCCCAGTATTAAGGAGTAGGGTCGCTGTCCAATCTCGTGTGTTTTCTCCGGGTCCTCCAATTTCCTCCCACTGCTAAAGACCCCTACGCGCAAGCGAATTATTGAAATAAAATTGAACCATGTTAGTCCCGATATGACCTAGTTTGTGTCGAGTAGACGTTAGACCCCCCCCCCCCCGCTCTCTCTCTCTTCACCTCCTGGATTATGGACCCCGATAGTACAAGAAATCGCATTTTTTTATTAACATGAATGTTTCTTGTTATTTCTAATACAGTGTACACATGAAAATGCATGGTCTATTTTCCACGACTGCACTATATACCGAAAAAATCTGATAAATACTGAAAAAAAATCCGAAAAATATACTGAAAAATGCCGAACACGTATTTTTCTATGCTAATTACCGAAAAAAATCTGAAAACCCTAAATACCGAAAAATCAATAAATACCGACCCTCCCACCCCCCCCAAAAAAAACCAAAACAAACTAGGCCACGCATAAAAATTGCTAGGTGGGGGAATGGGCCAGGCTAGGCCACGCATGGAAATGGTGAAATGAAATGAAATAGGGTTTAACGACCTACTGTTCTGCTCCTACTGGGCTAATGAAGACGGGCATACGCCATACAGTGTGCTAAGAGGAAAATTTTGCCCAGACAACTGTCAATGGATCTTTTACGTGCATGCCAATGTGTACACGGGACCTCGGTCTTTCGTCCCATCCGAACGACTAGACAGCTGTCCTTGTCAGGCCCTCCATCCTGCATCACTGACAAGGGGGAACCACGCCGGAAAATCTGGATGAACTTTCTCGGCCAATGCAGGGATCGAACACCCGACCTCCAGGCTAGCGAGCCAGCGTCTTACCCACTTAGCCACCGTGACCCCCAAATGGCGGAGACTCTAGGTGGGTAATGGGTCACCACGCCAGGCCACGTATAAATATAGTAGGACACTCTAGGTTAGCGATGGATCACGCTAGGTCACGCATAAGACTTGTGGGGCACTCTAGGTGAGTCAGGCTATAAGGCCACTTATAAAAATTGTGGGGCACAGCTATGTGGTTCATGGGTTAAGTTTAGGATTTTTTCGGACGGCAGTTTCTCCCGTTTACGCCATTCAGTACGACATTGTCGTCATGAACTAGTTAGAAAACCTCCCAATGCAGGTTGTGAGCATTATTTCATGAAAATCAAGATCGTATTAGCAGCTATCTGAGACAAAATGCACGGAAATAATTTCTTGCTGACGATCGGCCGCAATTTTGTGTGACATCGTCTTTTCCTGGCCTTCGTTTTTAAGTTTTTATTGATAATTAGTGTTGTTTTTCGGTATTTAGTGATTTTTCGGTATTTAGGGGTTTTCATATTTTTTCAGTAATTGGTATCAAAACATTTTTTTTTTTTCCGTATTTTTTTTGTCTTTTGTCTTTCGGTCTTTCTTCAGTATTTTTCAGATTTTTTCCGTATTTTTAGATATAGTGCCGGCCTATTTTCCACAATCACCCAATCACCGGGTTAGTATGTTCATGTATATGAACACCTACTTTCTCAATCAAATGATGATCACCTGCGCACGTGCTAAAACAACACGTGTTAGCCTACAGGTTTATCAGTGACTTAAACGCCCGAAACAGAACAAAGGGTCCAGTGTGTAGTTCTAGGATACAACTCAGATCTACGTTTTATAAAACTAAGTGGCCCCAACACATTGTTCCACTTAAAGATCGTGAACGATGTTCTAATGCCCTTTAATATTAGTTATTTACCGAAAACGTCGCGTCCTAAGGGACGGATTTTCCATAAAACAAGAGTTATTTCCCCTTTCGTCCTTCAAGTTAAGACAACATGGCGGCTCGTTTAGCACGATTACCGAATACTCTTCGTTTGGCTGGGTAAATACATTTTAATGATGAATTTTTTTTCACGATTTGTGGACAAAACAATATTACGTTTTTAAAGAAGGCAGCAGTGTCATTTTTATAGACTATCAATGGCAGGGCCATTTTATATAGTAAAGTCCGTCCCAAAATTCAACTTTGCGAAATATTAAATAGGCTAATGATGAAATGTTCAAATGACAAATAAGAATTTAGTAGATCTAGTAAATTCTAGATCTTTCACTTAACTGACTGTCTGGATAAGAAATGGCCTAGTACGTTGACCCGGCTACTTTTGACTTACACACAATTTCACAAGATTTCTACTACTAGCGAATTTCCATCATCGGATCAGTTGGCAGCTTAACCAACCCTAACCCTAACCCTAAGGTAGCCGGATCAACGTACTGCGCTCCAAATTTGAATGGCAAATTTAAATTTAAACACCATGATTTTTTGCACAAAATGTGGGGACATAGGCATAATCCATGAATTTACCATCCTCTAATCTAAGCGCATATTGAAAAGAACCTAGATCTTTGGATTGTGGGGGGTTGGATGGCAGAATCATGAAGTCTGTCATTGAGTCAACTGGCATGGTTTCGAATCCCCGGTTGTATGTGACTATGAGTAGGGTCGCCTGTCCAATCTCGTGGGTTTTCTCCGGGTCCTCCGATTTCCTCCCACTGCTAAAGACCCCTACGGGTAAGCGAATTATTGAAATAAAATTAAACCATATGTTAGTCCCGAAATGACCTACTGTCTGAACCATCCTAAATTTTAAACGGATTTCTTCGATTATGATCAGGGGGATCACGTGGCTAAGTGGGTAAGATGCTGGCTCGCTAGCCTGGAGGTTGGGTGTTCGATCCCTGCATTGCCTGAGAAAGTTCATTCAGATTTTCTGGCGTGGTTTCCCCTTGTCAGTGATGCAGGATGGAGGGCCTGACAAGGACAGCTGTCTAGTCGTTCGGATGGGACAGAAAACCGAGGTCCCGTGTACACATTGGCGTGCACGTGAAAGATCCCTTGGCAGTTGGAATTTGATATAAGAGTAAGCCGTAGCGCCGCTGCCCGGGCAAAATTTTCCTCATACCACACTGTATGACGTATGCTCGTCTTCATTAGCCCAGGTTAGGAGCAGAACAGTAGGATGGTAAACCCCATTTCATTTCGATTATGATCAAACTACTTATCTTTGGATATTGTAAACTTACCTGTGTGTTTAAAATCAACTCCCGTTAAATAAAATCCATTGCACAATTTAATATCCCAACGAATAAAAAAAGTTCTCTCTTGAAACAATTGACGTGTTTACTTGTATTTTTGACTGAGTTCAAGACAACATGGCTTTCCTCCCGTGTTGGACGAAACCGTTGAATCTGTTGAGGGGTATGACAGAGATTTTGACAACCACATGTTGCAATCAAAACAAAGCGTCCTCATTTCGATCGTTTGAGTTTGGGCAACAAAAAATATCAACTGAAGACAGTTTTGACCATATTGTGATATGGTGCAATATTTATTGTTCATGATGAAAATATATTCTTTATCAATTATTATTTTTTTTAATTTATTGTAAATAATACTTAAATCACACCATAGCCCCCACCTTCAATAGAAGGCTTAATCTTGCTTTAACTACGTACATCTTATCAGATGTTGTAAAACTCATAGTCGTTGCTTCAGGAACATGCATATGGCCCCATAATTTTAAATACCCTGTACATGTATGTTAGATCTATACTGTTATATATCAGATTAAAGATATTTATGGGTAAAATTTAAGACCCGTAAAAAGAATGTGTTCAAATTTGTGTTCAAAAGAAAATTCATTCACCCGATTCTAATCAAAAATACTTCAAAAGGTAAAAGCTATAAACTTTGCAGAGATTTTACTAGAATGTTAAAGATAGTAACAAAATAAAGAAATACGGGCAGTTATGTGTGTGAATGCCCAAACTCAATACCAAGCCGGGATTACACAAAACTTGAATTGTCGTAAAAGTACCACAAACTGTGACATCTTGTAACCCCTTTATACAAAATGATCTCTCCCGAAGAGTGACGTAATCGGCTTCCCTTTTGGTGGGGGGTTGGGTGGCTGAATGGTTAGCACGTGCGCGCTGTACCATAAAGTCTGTCATTGAGTCAACTGGCGTGGTTTCGAATCCCCGGTTGTACGTGGCAAGGAGTAGGGTCGCCTGTCCAACCTCGTGGATTTTCTCCAGGTCCTCCGGTTTCCTCCCACTGCTAAAGACCCCTACGCCTAAGCGAATTATTGAAATAAAATTAAACCATGTGTTAGTCCCGAAATGACCTAGTTTGTGTCGAGTGGACGTTAAACCCCATTTCTCTCTCTCTCACTCCATTTTGGTATTTCTCCATGTCAAAAGTTTGTGGGAATTCAATTTTTTTAAGAGAGAACTTTTTTTATTCGTTGGGATATTAAATTGTGCAATGGATTTTAATTAACGAGAGTTGATTTCAAACACACAGTTAAGTTTACAATAACCAAAGTTAAGTAGTTTGATCATAATCGAAGAAATCTGTTTAAAATTTACGATGGTTCAGACAGTAGTTTGTATCGAGTGGATGTTAAACCCCATTTCTCTCTCTCTCTCTCTCTCTCTTTGGGGTGTATAAACAATTGTGACCTCTCTAGAAGGTCCACAACCTTAGTATTACATACTTTTACACTGTCAGGCAGTTTCGTTCTGATTTTCACGAAATTCATTATTGAAACAGTGATATATTTAAATTTAAACGATTTTTTATAAATCGGATAAAAAATTGTGACCTCTAGAGACTACAGGGTCCACAGGCTAAACACATGATTTTTTGTACGATCACTAGCCATAATCCATGAAGTTATGATCAGGTATATGCCAATATTGAAATAATCTTTTGGAGATAAACTTATAATTCAAGTAGCGTCAAAATCAGATAAAAATTGTGACCTGTAGAGTATCCACAAACAAATAGTGGATGGACGGACAGGGGCGACGACAATATACGTGGTTAAAAACAAACTTATGGGTATCACAAAACCAGCTTTATAGAATCTAACGTTTCGTAAGGGTAAAAACTTACTTCTTCAGAGAAGTATAATTAGAAGAAGTAAGATTTTACCCTTACGAAATGTTAGATTCTATAAAGATGGTTTTGTGATACCCAAGACTTTGTTTTAAACCACATGAAAATGTGGCCGTATGAAAATTGGATGAATCTCATTTGTTGGTATGGTACCGGTACGCTATTTAAATGTCTAATTATACCTTTTAGAGTCCGGTTCATGGGCAATGAATATGGATCTGGTGCAGGAAAGGTGAGAATTTTTATAGACTGACCTCAGCAATGCAAATGTTTTTTTTTAGATTTTGATTTTGACGAAAACGGAATATTTACTAGTATTCGAAACCTCCTCCCATTTAAGAAACTATAACAATTTTCAAATTCGATAAAAATAAAAAAAAGCTATTGCACTGCTAGGACGCCAAAAATTAGGTGAATGATTTGATGGTGAGAATTTTCTGCATAAGTTAAGCAGAGATGAGCAGTTTGATTGGTCATGCTTAAAATTTCATTGTTCGTAGCATGCTTTAGTTGGACATAATAATGGAATGAGAGTGATGGAACTTGGTGTAGACCTACAGTGTCATTTCGTCAATACCATGACTGAGTTCAATGATGAGTCGGGTGCTTTTACGTGCATGCTAATCTGTCCCATCCAAACAACTAGGCACTGTTCTAGCCGGACCCTCCATCCTGCCCCACGCAGGAATCATGCAGGACCACACAGGACACCTTTTTTTTGCCCCATGCCTTCAAGTGAATAAGTTCCTGGAGGGTTAAAAAAAAAAAGCTCTCCTGAAATTGGAAAAAGGGTAAATCGTTCTCCTGAGAAAGCTCTCCTGAATCTCTTGAGGACAGCTTTGTTAGCATTTGTGATAAAGACCAGAGATTTGAATCTATTTTGAAACCAACCGGCCAGAATGTGTCAAATGAGGTCCCGGTAAGAAATAGGGTAATTCTAAGATCCCATTAACTTTAATACCAGACTTCAACAAGTTCAAGTCAGTAAAATTCCTGAATAGATTTATTCATTCGTGGATGAAAGACTAGCAGCACAATGATTACATGACAACCATGATTAAAATTGCTTTATATAAGATAGAATTCCGTACGACTATTAGTCAGGTCAAAATACAGTTTAACCCCCAAAAGGTCATGAATTCAATTTCATAATGATTCAACAGCTCAGTGATATCCAGAGTTCTCTTAATATGTTCCGTGTCTCCCAAAACCTGGGGATAGACATACAAGATCATCAAATTTGAGTCAATAGTTATGGACTTGCGGTCATTTGGAGGTGTTGGCAGCCATTTTTGACATAATAGGCCAACATCATTTTTAATGATCTTAATGTGTTTTTTGCCCGCCAAAACCTAGGTAAAGATGCAAAGATCATCAAATTTGAGTTGATAGTTACATAGTTATGATCATTTTAAGACGCTTCAATGGCCATTTTTGACACCATCTTGAAAAAACACTTTTCCAGGAATCCTACTTTGGTAAACTTTTAGTATGTTATAAAGTACACTAAACTCTACCAGAATCCGTTGAGAAACCTTTTGTTCTGTAGCAATTTTGTGGGGGGGGGGGGCTTGAAGGGATATTTTCCATACAATGTATATTGACCTGACTATATGCTATTGCCTTAAATAATGACAATATTTTTAAGAATAAAAATATGTATAAAATAAAAATGAATAAAACTAAAACACCATTTAAAACTAAATCTAGCAATGCTCGTTTATTGACCTAATTCCAACTGATGCATGTTATCATGAATCTTGAAGCATTGGAGATCCTGACGGAAAAATATATTATTAATATCTGTTTCTCGGAATATCCGGTGTTCTATCAGGGATTATTCAATGAATATTTAAACTTAACTAACAAAACAGGTCAGTGAAACCATAAAATGTATTATCCAATTATTATTTTAATATCTACCTAGAATTGGTACGGATCGAGCAATGAAGACGGGGCATGAAGCCCAAGATTCACAATCCATGCCGAGCGATATGTCTTCCTTCGTCACATGGTTTATACAAAGGAAACTTACTGGACCTGTTATGAATAACCAGCAAGCTTGTATTGTTTTTTTGACGAATTATCAAAATTACCGTTAAATGTGCTAATTACTCGGATTATGAACCGGATGGCCGATTCTCACTAAGGTATGACTGTTATTGTAGCGGACAAGCAAGTTGATTGTCGATATTGACAGTATGTTTTGTTACCGGTACATTTTTCCTGATTATTTTCTTTGACTCAAGTTTGAGGGGTGTCAATTTAGACATTGAGGAGAGCGACATCCAGGTGTGTCCAGGAGAGCGATCGCGCTCCTTTTACATGAAGGCCTGTTGTCCCATCCTGCCCAACTAACAAGAGAGAATCCCACACCTTAAAATCTTGAGGGGCTTTCTCACTGAGGCACAACTGCTCCCTAAGCCTGGCTAGTTATATACCTGGGCCCAGTTTCTCGAAATCTTAACTAAAGATAAAATCCAAATTTTAGTAGATACTTCAATTTTGATTGGCTAATCACTAAAATCAATCTAATATTATCCAATCAAATTACTTAAATTTGGATTTTATCTTAGTTAAAATTTCATGAAACAGGCCCCTGATCTAATTATCTTATTTGTTTATTTTAGGGTGGTGGTACTGGAGGAAGTATTCGGTAAGTAAGGAAATCTGAAATATTAATAAAATATTACAGTACTATTGCAAAAGAATTCCAGTCGGTCAAGATTTTTCCCGAAGGTGTTAGAAGACAAGAGCTCTTACTTCGACAGAATTGTTTTTATGGAAATATGAATATTTCTTTTCAGTTTGATTTCTTTAAAATACCTAATATTTTATAGTATGTAAATTAAAATACTGGTAATTTCTCTGGTCGGTCAATTTCACCACAGTCTGTTTAAATTTCAGATCTAAATTTCATTTTGTTTTTATTTAATACTTCAACTGCTTTTACTCTATAAAGATCTGACCTTTTTGTATGAAAGGCCATGTTAGGACATCATATGTAAACTTCAGCTCTGTAGGCATCTCACAGAATTCTGTGCACACCTCGAAAGAACAGACCATTTCAATATGCAACATTGAAATGTTGCGTAAGACACTGGCTCGCTAGCCTGGAGGTTGAATTTTCGATTTCTGCATTGGCCGAGAAAGTTCATCGGGATTTCCCGACATGGTTTCCCCTTGTCAGTGGTTCAGGACAGCTGTCTAGTTGTTCGGATCCGACCCAAAAAAAAAACACATGGCTTGCATGGAAAAGATCCCTATGCAATTGGAATTTGATATAAGAATAGGCCATAGTGCCACTGCCCGGGCAAAATTTCACTCATTGCACACTGTATGGCATATGCATACAGTCGGAGCAGAACAGAAGGACGTTAAACCCCATTTCATTACATTAACAAACATAACACTGATTCCACTGCTGTAAAAATAAATAAAACAAAATTATAACAATTATTAAAATGAAAGCGAAATGTTTTGCAATCAGAATGATTTCCCTACTGATCATAGCCAATATGGCTGTTAAACGAGAGCCTTGGTGCAGATAATGTGGACCATTGGTCAAGTATAATCCTTCATCAAGCGTGGAACCAACTCAACTGATCACAGGTCATACTTCTGGAACATTTTGAAAAGTGCTTCATTTATTTTTTTTTCCAGAGAAGCTGGAGGTAGTTTCGGTAAAATGGAGGCTGCTCATGAAGAGCAGTATTTCAGAAAACTTGTGAGTAGATTTTTCATTCCTTTGCATTTATTCTGAATGATGCCACTGCATTGTTGACACTTATGAAAGATACCACAAGATTATTTTATCACTAAAATCTATGTTAGTTATTTGTTGAAATTGTGTAGGTTTGAACTTTTCCTTGTACCAGAATGAATTGCAGACCTTGCCGATTGATAATGCCAGGAAAGTTATTGATGGTCCTCCTGAAAAGGTACGCAATAGCGTCATTTACTCCAGAGACGGATGTAGGGTTTCTCAAGGGCTCAAGTAAATTTTACAAATTAAGCATTATTTGGTGCAACAGAATTGTAAATTTACTTTCAGTAATGGACACCTATGTTTCGAATTATAATAAATGTCCATTTCTATAGCGCCAAAACCGCACAAATATCATGCTCGCAGCTCTTGACAAAACACATCTACATAACGGCTTTAGCTCTGTTATAACTTGTTTAAAACGGGTGCGGGGGTGGATGACCGAATGGTTTGCGCTTGCGTGCTGTATCATTAGGTCTATCATTGAGTCAACTGGTGTGGTTTTGATTCCCCGGTTGTACGTGACAACCGACAACCTTGTAGGTTTTCTCCGGGCCCTCTGGCTTCCTCCCACTGCTAAAGACCCCTACGCACAAGCAAATTATTGAAATAAAATTGAACCATATGTTAGAGAGTTGAAATGACCTAGTTTTTGTCATGTGGAGTTTAAACCCCATTTCTCTCTCTCTTTTGTTTGAAACAGATGAGTTTTTAACAGTTTCTTGAATTACAATAATAACTCTTTGTACCCCGCCTTTCGAAGAAAGCAGGGGACTATTAAAATGGGTAGGTGGGTCAGTCGAAATAAACGATGGTGGTAGTATGCAATTGAACTCAATTTATGTTTATTGTAAGTAACCAGGTGGCATAATTGGGATTGCTCATATTATTTGCTGTACTATGTACACTGTTCGTATGTGGATGGGGGGGTGGGTGTTGGATGGCCGAATGGGTAGCCCATGAGCGCTGTATTATAAGGTCTGTCATTGAGTCAACTGGCGTGGTTTTGATTCCCCGGTTGTAAGTGACAAGGAATAGTGTCGCCTGTCCAACCTCGTGGGTTTTCTCTGGGTTTTCTGGTTTCCTCCCTCTGCTAAAGATCCCTACGACCTAGTGAATAACTGAAATAAAATTGAAACATATGTTAGTCCTGAAATGACCTAGTTTGTGTCGTTGGAGTTAAGCTCTCTCTCTCTCATCCCTGTTCCTTTCATGTTGATGACTTACAGGTGTTGTAAGAGCCACTGTGGACTAGTTTGGCTCAGAATAGTTTAAAAGTAACTGATTAAGATAAAAGTAATTTATATAATATTTCTACTGAATAAATATTTTGTCTAAGTCTTCGGCCATCAATGATGAAATCAGTTTGACTCAAATATAGATATCAATATACTATTATCTACTATATATATATATATATATATATATATATATATATATATATATATATATATATATATATATATTTTAAAATTTTATCCATATTGGGTAGGAGTACAAGCTCTTGTGACCTCATTTTGGCTTCGCTATACGTAATCTGATTAAAATCAGATCTATATTTTAAAATTTTAAAATATAATTTATACATATAATATATATATATATTTTAATTTATGAATCTTATGAGCATAATTAAAGTTTGATTTTGTTATTTACTTTTATGTCGCACCTAGCAAAATGAACAGCTGTCAACATTACGATCAATGTTCAAGGATGAAATTAGATTTCATGGTCAACAGATAGATATGCATAAGGTGAACTCATGGAGCCATGATTATTTAATATGGCTACCATTAGCGTCTGCTTATGCCTCAACAAACACACTTGTACTTGTGGCTTGTATTTTGTTCTTCTATCTGTTTCTGTTACTAATGTATGGACTGTTGAGAAAGAACTTCAGAAGGATATACCTGGAAAAATAAAAAGGCTAGTGGCCAGTAATATATACACCAAACAGTGTACCTTACTTCAGTTCAGAGTTTATATTTTTCATTACAACTTTTAATTGGATTTTATTTATAAAAACATATTAGGATTGTTTAGCTTATTCTTCAAAGTGATGGTGATATTCATACAGTCATTCTCTGGCAACATTATGGTTAGAAGTCAGACCTTCCCCAGTTGTCTAGTTCTAATGAAATTCTTTCTCACAGTCAAAGCTATTTAGCATGAGGTGTAAATTAGTTAACATATATCTGTAATTTTATCAATTTATTTTATGTCTCCCTCAAATCTGGGCTTATCAAAAATCTAGCAAGCCGAACAGTTAAAAAGAATGAAAGAACATTTGGGAGAAGAAATCGAACACCATGAACGCTCCATTAAACAACACAAGGTAATTTCAATTGTAAAAATTGAAAATATAAATATTGATGATCTACAATGATCCATGTGTCGATGGCATTTAGTTTTTCTTCATGGCTATACCCTGTCTGTACATTTAACTCTTAAACTTGGAAATATTCTTGCCTGAAACATGTTAAAAAGCATAAAGCTTGCACTTAAATGAATGCTTTCAGAATGAAAATAAATATGATTTCTTGTGTCTACGAGAGATCTAATTATTAGAAATAAAAAAAAAAAACCCAAAACAATTGGAAAAACTCATATATTTGATTAATGCTTCTAGTTTTAGTTTGCTGACTTTAGCTGATATCCTAATATAAATTTAAAGATCTATTTTTTCTGACTTTAATAATAGTGTGACCTCTTACTATTTAAATTATTCTGTTTTGAAATTATTTTTTCTTCTAAAAAAATCTATTTCATTTCTTACCAGAATAAAAAGTAGTGTACAGTTAGGTGTTCTCTATCTAAGGACAGAATTTCTGCAAAACAAAAAACTTGCATGCAAATAAATGGAGTTTACTCCCCTTAAGGCCTACATATTTTGTAATCTCTACTTAAAACCTATATATTCAGTATTCTAGCATTGACGTATTAAAATATATATTGCATGCTCAAATAAGTATATTTTTATTTTCCTGTAAATATATTTTCATCTTTTAAATTTTATTTTTTGCGATCATTTATTTGGTGTAGTTATTTAATTTTCTATCTGAATCTTGTCTCTGTTACTTTTTACCATCTTTAATAAAATGTTGTAGAATTCTTCTTTTAAATTTAACTACAAAATATATCTGTATTTTGATTAGAGTCTTTTGTATAAATTATCAAATATAATTTTAGTTACAGGTGCTTTAAAAAAAATATGAAATTTAAAAGGAATTTGCTACATGTTAATTTATTATAACACCATCAGAGTACCGAATTAAGAAGTGAATAATATTTATTTGGGCTCGTTTAGGTTCAGTGAATAGGGTTGTTTTTTTTTTTACATACGTACTTGTACTACATACAGATTTTTCAAATTTGAGATTTTAGAATTACTAAGTGATAGATATACATCGCAATGTGAATAAACAGCGACTTGTACTCATTGTTCTTTGCTGATAATTTTTAAATTTCTATGGTAGAGAAACCACATTCTTACAGTTAACTACAAATAGGCCTCCAACGCGTTCATAGTGGAAAATCACTAATCAAGTAGAACTATCTCCTAGGTCACACTGGTAAACTCCGGGCTTAGGTCAAAGGTAGATGGTAACTTGTTTAAAGATGCATTATGTAAGATTTTATAAAGTTTAAAAATAGATTCTAGTGCTAGTGTAGTCTCAATTTTCATTGATACCATCTTGATTATCCTTTTTTGAAATTAAATTATGAAATGGTGATCATGATTCAATCCATTCAAACTTACATGCACAACCATCCGAGAATCTAGAGAGTTGATTATAGGTTGGTCAAGTGAATAAATGTCTAATTGATAATTCATATAACATTTGAAGCCAAAAAAAAAGATCTGCAATAGGCAGTTTTAGTTTTTACATAATGCATCTTTAATGTTTATTATTTTAGGAGACAAGTCATTAAGAAGCATTCAGTAATAAGAAGCATTATTTATGAAAGATTCAATGTCATCATAGATCCATCATTTAATTTGTCTAATTGCAGGAAGCTATTGAAAGACACAAGAAGAAAATTGGCCAGTTGAAACATGAAGAGGATCAAAATAAGAAATAAACCTGTATTTGATTAGACATAAAACTATTTAGATATGACTTCTGATTTGTGTCTGTGTCTTCTTCGTTTGCGTGAGTGAATTTGACAGAAATACAGTAATGTATCTCGGCATGATCGTCGGTTACTTAAAAAAATAAATAAATAAAGATTGTTGATGGGACATCTTATGTATGATAATTTTATTAAGTTTTTCATATCTGAAATACAATGACACAGTAAGATTTATGTAGTAATTGATTTATAATTAAAACTAATTATAATTTATAAAGACTTGTTTAATTTAGTCCTGATATCTTGTTTTCTTGCCTTAGCCGGGTTGGAACAGAAAAGTAGGATGTTAAACCCCATTTCATCATTCATTCCTTGTTTTTTTGCTAATACCAGTGCTCTTTTATTGTCTAAAGGAAAAAATGAACACTTTACTGGTCTTTTGAAATGGGAGTTATTGCCCTTCAGTGGCTAGAAATGGCTTTTCTTGTGACTGGAATTTCAATATGTTATCTTAATCAAACCATTCAAGAGGTGACTTTTGGATCACTACCATTTTGCATTCAGTGCAAAGTTTGCTGGAGAGTGGAGACATAATATAGTACATTCTTTGTGATATTATATTATTTCCTTTTAGCACTTGTGGCCATATATGAAACTTAAAGAAAATTATTCTATTTGTCAGATAATCCTGCATAATTTAAAAAAGCTGTTTGACTGGTTTTGTCATTCATTACCTCACATTTATATTTTACTGGAAGTAGACCTATAAAAAAAATGTACACAACCCTGATAAATGTTACTTGCAATCATAAATGAACTGAATAATCAAACTTGGCTATAAATAACATGATGATATAAATTTATTGCCTTGAAATGTGATTTTTGTGAGATGTCATTTATCCCAGTAATGTTCCTTGACAAAAAAACTAAAAACTGCATAAGATTTATAAGTAAGGATTGTCTGAGAGCCAGAATATTTTGTTTGTATGAAATGGGTGTTTTTAATCTTATTTAAACATAGAATCACTCAAACAACCTAAATACCTAAGCTTAGTTTTTCACGATCTATATACAGTTTTCCACATTGGTGTTAAAGGGCCAATCCCGATAATATTTTGGAGAATAAAACTGCTTAATTTTGTGTTAAAATCCCTTTAAATCATCTACCTTAGGGTCCAGTAACAAACTCAATATATGTGATACACTTTCAAACAACTTAAACCTGTCAGTCTTAATCTGGAAATGGAAACAGTGTCCCAAGCTGTATTATGCCTTGTCTGGATAAAACTAGACTTTTATTTTATAAAAATAATGTGTATGTGAAATTTACCTTTCGTTAACAAGAACAGCACATGGGCCATTCACTGTATAGATCTCTAAATGAACAGGAATCGAAAATCAGGTCACCCAACGAAAAACTTGACCTGAAATCTTAAAAGGGTTACTACGTGTCTGGATAAGCAATTTTGACATTCACGTCCAAACGACTGAATATTTTGAGATGAAATTTTGAGACCGGGTAAATACACCATTCCTCTATATTTTGGTTCCTTAAATTTCATACGTACTCGGAATTTTATTTTTGAGACTCTTTCAGAGTTTGTGGTTATGCTACTGACCTTGAAAAAGTCGATGCCTGATTCATACCAATAATGGTAACAATAGTACTGTAACTGTAGTATACTCTGTGTGAGCAAAGCAGGTTGGTTTCTAAAAACACAAAAAATATTGTCTGGTGTTCCATTATGTGTGGTTTAATGGTCGAGAGCGAGACATTAAGTAATCTATTGATACTGCACGAGGCGTTAGCCGAGTGTTGTTTCAATATATACTCTTCAAAAAAAGTAGGGGATATTCTGAAACAATACAAAACTGCGGAAACGCACTGCTGTTTTTATTAGAGGTAACCAGTGTATGTTAACAACAGGCCAATTGCCTACACATGAACATAAACAGTTCATATGGGCGGCTTATCTGACGGCCCTATTTCACTCGCAGAGATACACCGTGAAAATGGACGGTTTTTGATTTTGGTCTTAATAATGAGTAATTGCTCCACCAATCCTCAGACATTCAGCAATTCGTCGTGGATTTGGGGCAATCTGACACACCTCTCTTGCAGAGCCACAGCCAATTCTTGCAGTGTTAACGTCGACGAACACGTCTCCCGATCAAATTAAACGTAACACACTAAAGCAAAGATACGCTAAACAGTAAATCTTATGCAAGAACCGATAGGAAAGCAAACATGGATAGATAAACCAGCACACGGCAGTTTTCATCAAGTGTCCATGACTATTTATCATATCACAACCTGCATAGGTATTTGCATTTCAATATCCCGAACTTTTTTCGAAGAGTATATTACGCAATGTCTTTAGCTTGAGACCATTAAACAACTTAAAATACAGACACTATCCCGCACGTGCTTTTCAATGAAATACGTCACGCGAGTCCGATATTTCATCTAGTATAGATAATGTACGATTGGTAAGTTGCCCGTACCATTATAGGAAATAATGGTACGCCAACATCAAAGGATGACGTCACATCTGTATTTTAATTATATGTAGTGGATAAAAGAAAATCATAACCCAAGCTTGAGAAAAGCTGATTTTGTAATGATTATGGCAAAGCAGTGCAAAAGTCAAAATCCAGTGTTGTACTGTCTTATTAGCAAGCCCTTTTCCCTTGATAGCCCCTTTCCCACCCCTTTTCCTAAAACTGCAGTTCCAAGCAATTATTCCTGGGGTGGTTTTCAAACCAAACATGCTTTTCATATGGCCAAATTTTCATGTGGACGTATATTGTCGTCGCACCTGTCTGTCCATCAGTCAACATTTTGTTTGTGGACACTCTACAAGTCGTAATTTTTATCCAATTTTGACGAAACTTGAAATATTGGTTTATATCCCAAAGATCTCGGTTCCTGTAGATATTGGCATGTATCAGGCTGTAATTTCGTGGATTATGGTTCCTGAGTGTATGAAAAATCATGTTTTTAGCTTGTGAATCCTGTACAGGTCATAAATTTTATCCAATTTTGATGAAACTTAAAGGGACAATAACACTCTTGCTGGCTTGACAGCTCCAGAAAATAAAAAAATAGCCCTATTCTAAGTACTAGATGTGTTAGTGTCCTACCTGTTGTGTAAATTAACCATTCAATCCTTTTTTACTTGTCCAGAGGGTTCAAAAATATTTTTAAATCCAAGTCACATTTGAAAAGCTTTACGTCAGGCTTTTCAAATCATTTAGTTGAATTTTTCCAATTTTTTAAATTAGGTGTGTTAAGATGAAATTTGTATCATCAATTAATTGGAATATTGTAAAATAGTGCAATTTGTTGACCAGAATAAAGATTGGGACATATTATTCAGTTACAACAAGAGTGGTATTGAGCCTTTAAAATATATGGTTATATCCGAAAAGATCTCAGTTCATTTCAATATTCGCGCGTATCAGACCGTAACTTCTTGGATTATGGCCCCCCTTTTTATTAAAAATCACGTTTTTAGCTTGTGGGCCCTCTAGAGGTCATATTTTTTATCCGATTAAAAAAAAACAATTAAAATATATCACTGTTGCACCATAAGGACAGTTGAGTATGAATTTCGTAAAAATCGGACCAAAACTGCCAGACAAAATGGCCGGTCCCCGTACTCAAATACTCAAAAAAACTTAAAATGTACATGTATGGTTATATCCTAAAGATATGGGTTCCTGTCAATACTTGCGCGTATCTGACTGTAACTTTCAGGATTATCACCCCTGATTGTACGAAAAATCCCTTTTTGTTAGCTTGTTCTCTTTTTGCGTGTCTTGCATGGCAAATCTAGGGCGCCACCCCAGCCACAATCCCACCCCACAATGAATGTCAACAAAATAGGAGCGGATTGGGCCATCGGGCAATCACCCGAAGGGCCGGTCGGACAAAAAATGAAAAAAATCATTTTGTCCAATTCGTCTAAAATACCCTTTTTCTGTTGAACGTTATATGTTGGTGGGGGAGGGGGGGGGGGTATTGGACCGGCCATGAAGCGATGATGATCATGTTGTATGTAGTGTAGTCCCATTTTTTAACCAGTTAAATTCTCTTTACTCTTAACTCTTGACGATACAATGATAATAGGTTAATTAATAATATGACGATATGATAATTTCACAGCTTGATGGTTGTAAATTACTTGCAGGTCGGGGTTTTGGCCTAAATTAATCGATTTATGAGATATATTATTTGACAGAGATTATAATCAGATATGCCACCAAATCCCATATTTGAGGTTCATTTTTCAAAATTTTCCAGGGGGAGAGCCGCCGGACCCCCCCCCCCCTCGGGACTCTGCTGTCAGTAAAAGGGGCCGCTCCGACACGGGAGCCCAGGCCGGTTCCCGGCCCCGATCCGCCCCTGCCAGTAGAACATAGATGGCATTGTATAAGTAAAAAGTTGTCTATCGTTGTCTCGCTGGAAAGCAGTTTTATTTAAGTTGACATACGTTTATATCATATATGATTGTGCCTATAACACTGAGCAACCTAAGAACATTTTGAAAAATTGAGTCAATATCTTGGCATTTGAGGTCATTGCTGGGAGAAATTCTTGTGGACGAGAGGACCAGAAATGTGAGTCAATTAGACAAAATCTGCCCCCTGTCAATTCCGCCTGTTTTGCAAGAGTTGACAGAACTTTAGTATAGTCTGACGCCCCATGACCCACACTCCAGTGCTAGTGGTACTACTAACATAACTAGGCAGTTCAGTATAACCGTGAATATGATAGTGCTGAGACAGAAAAAGACAACAGAGGAGTGGAAGAATGATGTTATAATGGAATCGAGCGCCGCAGGCGCGAAAAAATTTTAGATGTGTAACCGAGCTTTTAATTTTTGGGACTGGGCCTGACAATTTTAGTCAATGTCATGGCAAATGGATCCAAATTCTCGTTAACGAGAGGATAAGAAATGGTACAGAATCTTGAGGACTATCTGTCAATGTCGCCTGTTTTGTGAGAGTAGAACTAACAATTCTACAGTCTTTTGACCCACGA